GATATATGGGTATTGGTCTAAATTCCCTATAATACGGGGCCCTATATTTGGGTTCCCATTATAATACGGGGCCCTATATAAATTTCCCCCATTTTGGGAACAGTAATTTAGGGAAACTACCATATGGGTGCTTCTCAAGGTGTGACTTCCGCAGAATGGCTTTAGGATCCATGTACATACCTGGGCCCTTAAAAGTGCTCCCTTCTTGCGAAACCCGTACAATTCTTAATGCCATAGCCCTTTTCCCAGAAACCCTAGACTAGCTTCTTTCCCAAACCATAAGCGCCTAAATCTACATTCCTAAAACCTAAGCACTGAATCCTATACTCTGAACCCTAAGCCCTGAACCCNNGAACCCTAGACCCTGAACCCTGAGGCTTGGTTGAATGATGGCAGCATCCAGCCAGTACCTGCGCCCAAGGACTCCACTGTTTTTTTGGCTGGGGCGGTTTAGGGGGAGGGGTTGCAGTTTAGGATTTCGGGTTCAGGGCTTAGGATTTAGGGTTTGGGGCTTAGGATTTAGGGTTTAGGATTTAAGGGGGCTATTAGGATTGAGAGTTTAGGGTTTAGGGATTAAGGGCATATGGGTATATACAGAGATGTAGAAGCCAAACATCAAAGGTGAAATGGAAACTGGGAAGACATTAACTTGGGATTTAGGAGGTCAAGGTGAAAATTTCATGTTTCGTTTGTAGTTGTGTGGGTGACGGTTCCTAGGGAGATGCTTAAAACGGTGACGTCGTGATCACGGTCCATGTTGATTTAGCATGTGTTAGGAGTTAGTCTGATTTGTGCAAGATAGCTTTTCGCAGGGTTGAAGCACCCAGCAGAAAATTAGGCAGCTCGTCAGATTGGCTTATCTTCCAGATCATAATAGGACGTGTTTGTGGGCCTCCACAATTGCTGAAAGCCTGTTACCCTAAACCCTAAACCCCTAAACCCTAAACCCTAAACCCCTAAACCCTAAACCCTAATGTTACCTGCATATCCTTTCCCGGTGGATCCTGGAGCATGTCCAGGTTTTGAGAGATTCCTCGGCGAACAGAATTGCATTGAAGGAGCTGCTTCCAGACTCTTTACTGCGCACGAACGAGGCGGCATAATCATGGCAGGGTGATTTCAGGCTTTGGGGGTTAGGGGTTATGGCCAGGGCTCAGGCAGAAGTTTTGACTAGAGCCCGTGGAGGGATGCTTTCCTGCGCATGCTGTTTTTTTTTACAATCTTGCCGTCTAGGGCTATGACATTTCCCATTGAAATCGAAGCAGAAGTCATAGTCATTGCGAACCCGTCGCGCCATCAAATACAAAGGCATCCCTATGGATTAGATCCTTGCGGCAGTCAAGGAGTGAATCGAGATCAGAAATAGAACATATTTTTTTAGCATCCACCACGGGAAGCTGGGAGGTCTCGAAATTGCAGTTCAGGGGCACCTTCTGATGGAATCCTGGGTCTGTAGCGTCAGAGTTTGAGCTGTTTGAAGCCTGACGTCGTTTTTCCCAACCCGAAACGAAGGAGTGCAAGAAAAAACTCGACCGTTTCACCTATTTCATATGCATTTATCCTGGTACGCCACTATAACCCCGTTTTCCATTTCACTTTCAACGTTCTTCTCCACTGGGTCCCAGGTCTCAGGTCTTTTCTTCATCCTACATATCGCTATATAACCCTTTAAGCCACTAACAAGCCCTACAAACCACTTCAAAAGCGCCCCAGCCTGTAAACCCCCAACCCTAAACTTGAAACTCTAAACCCTTAAAATCCCTGGACCCTTAAATCCTAAACCCGTAAACACTAAAACCCTAAAACCCTAAAACCCTAAACCCTAAACCCTAAAACCTTCAAGTACATCCCAAAACCTTGAAGTCTTGAGTGCAGGCTCCGCAGAAGCCATCCCCGCCACCCGTGGAGCGCAACGATTTCATGGGAGGTCGGGTTGGGCTTAGGTGGGTTACATAGGGTCTATAGCCCTTTCTGGGGGTTTTCTAAGGTTTAGGGTTTACATAGGGTTTAGGGTTTAGGTAATAGGGTTTAAGACTTAGGGCTCAGGGAACTGGGGTTTAGAGCAGTTTAGGCCTTTATAGTGGCTTGGGAGCTCCAGGTTGTCGAGCCCAAATTTCCAATTAAACGTCGGTCTTTCTGCGGTTTCTGTCCGACCTTTCATGGGGCATATCTAAGACAGGTGGTAGTATTTCAGATGATAATGCCCCTTAAGCAGATAGAATACGGCTTTGGGTAGATTACAATAAGATCCCCATATACCCCATATCCTATCTACGAAAGGTGAGCTAGAAGCATCCCGCGTTGACGGCATGAGCTTCAGTCCAAGATGAGGCACGCATGCTCAGCCAACGGCTATGCTCCCGATCGGATTCCTGGAGATTTCCAGACTGTTACCGGATTTGTGCCCTGGGACGCTTCGGCCATGCAAGTTACAAATACCTAAACATCTTGCAATCGCTGGTCCCTAATGGCCTGAATACAACTTAAACTGAAAGCTGCAGATGGAAGCAGCGCAAGAACTGGGAATCTCTTAACCCAGTCCTGATGTAAGCGCTGCACCTTCTGGCAGGCTCCCTCTCCGCCAGCACCGGGATTCCTTCCATGACAGCCTCCATCGGGGCTCCCACAGTCGGCTCGCCCATGAGGCAAATCTCTGGGGCTTGAGGGGTTTAGTTAGATTAGGTTAGGCCCTAGCGGTTAGGGCAAAGCTTAGACCCTTCTTCCTTGCTAATGAGTACTGATGAGGACGTACTGTCGGTCCACAAAATTATTTGCCAAGTTCAGGTGTTTACATTTCATGCAAACTGGAGGTATGGAAGTCCTCAATCACCCTTTCAACTGATGCAAAATCATTATTTGCAATTCTTGCTCCTTGGAGGCCGATGACCCACACGCTGCCCACATGGTCAGCCGCACCTATACAAGGCCTCGCTGCTTCCAGGCTGAGTAGGTACAGTTCAGGGTACAGACTGGTGCGCGCTGTTCGCACGCGGATAACCCTAAGAGCTGAAGGCTGAACTTGAGTTGGATGTGACGGGTCCCTTTGGACACAGGAGGTTCCGTATGTGCGGGAATGACTGATTGGAATTTGGAGCCATCTACAGGGACCCGAGGATCAGGAATCTGCAAAGCCTTCAACTACAGCATGTCAGGTGCACTTGCACGGAGTGCCTTATGAAGCCCACTCCTACCATGTGAAAGGTGTGGTGTCGACGACTACGAAAATGGCAGCTCCGCGCACACCCCTGATGCTCCTCACACGCAGATCAGCGATGGCCAACACTGAATTTTAGGGCAAAATGTAGAATGGCATGTTGAAAAGCCGCGCCGTTCCTGAGCTACAAACAAACATGAGCGAGGTGCAATGTCAGTTCAAGCCTCAAGCAGTTGATATCGTTGCACAGAAAATGTTCTGAAGAGGCACGCAAGAACATGACACTCGCACCACAAAAGCAAAAAGCGGTTCCCAGGGCAAGGCATCGCAGGAAGCGGAAATAAAGAACAAAACGGAACGGCTATTCAAGAAGGATCTTTTGCTACAAGATGGCAACAGCGCTAAAATGGGTCAAGCAGGCTACTGTAGAGT